ATAATAATAACCTACACAATCAAAATAAATAAGGGTAAATAATTCTTCTAATTAATTATTTTTATGAAAAAAATAATGGTATAGTTGGATTGTGGAGAGGATTAAGTGGAAATTTACTTTTTAGAAGTTGGTTATCTGTATTTTGGGGATCATACGAAGTAAGCCATTCATCTCATTATATATAAGAGAGTAAAAAGTTTAGAAAATGATTGCTCTTTTTCTTCAAAAAAAAATTAATTAATTTGTTTTTTTTTAAAAAAAGCTTTATTCAATATGGTTACGTAAATTAAATTTAAATGAAGCAAGTATAAATTTTTTAGCAGGCGGTTTAAGTGCAAATACATTTTGGTCCATTTCAATGCCATGTGGTACTTATTACATATTATAAATAATTTATAATATTATTTTATCAATATTGGTGACAATTTTTTTTTTTTTGTTAGATACTGTAAAAAATAGAATGATGGCCCAACCAGATATAAAGCCTCTTCAATTTCCAACATTGAGAGGTTGTATTTCACAGATATATAGAACAGGTTTGTAATAAAATTAAAGATGAATTTGATTTTAAAAAAATTAATTTGTATAGTTATTTTCTATTTTATATTTATAAACACATAATAATAATAATCATTTATATCAGAAGATTTTAGATTGTCACATGAGAAAATTTTGCGAAATATTATTATTTAGAACAATTATTAAAAGTTCCATATTAAAAATTTTTTGGTTGATAAAATACAGAAGCATGAAATTTATACGCATAATCTTTAGGTTTTAAAAAAACTGATAATTATTATGCCCATTGAAAACATGTGGCGGATCATGTGGAAAACTTCATCGGAGGGGTAAAAAATTTAGTGTTTTAAAAAACAGATGTGAATTGGCTTTATAAAAAATTAGCTTTATTTAACAGAGTAATTGATAAACTAATGAATCTAAAATTTTAAAAACGAGATCAAAAATAAATGGAGCACAAAAAATTATGTAAGCCAGAATAAGAAAGTTTAAAAGTTATTTTACTTTGTCATACATACAACATTATTTTTTTAAAGGGATTGATTAAATTCCGCTATTAAATTAATGGGTTGCGTACAGATGACCTCGACCGTGAACTCACTCATTCATGGCATTAGACAAACCGTCAATTAATGCCATTGTTTACCTTTTATTTCTCCACTTAAATATCCACACCTCCTACCTATATTAATATATTTTTGGAGTTGTTTTTTCCGTTAAAAATTTGAAAGGTATGAGAATATTATTATTAAAAGTTGCGTTACTTTCCTTCTTAAAAAGGTTACGAAATCAGGGAATCAAACATATGCTCTGTGTCGCACATGGTTTGCAAATGTCGATCATGCCAAAACTAATAATTTTAGAGACCAGGACAAATTTTCAGATTTTTATTTTCGTTAGTAATTAGTCACATCTAAAATATAAAAAATCGCCATTATTTAAATATATATATATGAGTACATTATATTATCACTATTGTTATTAATATAATTGTCATCGTTGTTATTATTATTATTATTATTATTATTATTATTATTATTTCGTTTATACAATAGCTAATTCAATTTATTCCATTAGAGCTTTGGTTTTTAATATTATGATCTAAAAAAAATTACATTTTCAAAATTAAATTAATTAATAATATTTATTTCTATATATATATTATATACATTAGATTGATTAATTTTAGAAAACTTACATTTCCATTATTTAATGATAAAGACAACAGACTTCCGGTAATATTCCATTTAATACAAA